TATTTTTTTAACTCTGTATTTTAGTGCATGGCTTTAAATAAGGAACTACAACTGCTTGCCGTTACAACTTTGAACAGTTGTGATAAAACCTCACATAATGCCATCTGAAAAAAAAGTATTTTTTTTATTTTCAAGTGGTATAACAAACACTGAAGAGAAACACTGTCTCCAACAACATAGAAGAGAACACAGTCTACTTACTATAAGATAAACCTAACACAAAAGATTTTTAATTTTATTTTGTACTTTGTCCATTGAGTTCATAATACATACACCAGAATTTATGCTGTTCTAAATAATACTTTCCTTCACAAAATCAAAGTTGTATCCTTTGTAAATTAAAAAGGTTTCAGTGGTCTTTCAGGTTTCCAGAAGATAATCAATGCAGTGATCGTATGAAAGGTTTTTAATGTATTATAGTGTTAGAGATCTTAGCTATAAAATTTTGGACCCAGCAATGCTGACAAGTTTTCACTGAGGATAAATGTGCTCTACAGTCTACAGGTGAAAGCATGATTTCAGACCTTTGGGCCCAATCTACTGCTTTCTCTCCATATTGATGTTAGACAAAAATAAGGGGAAAAAAAAATGCTCGGGAATGCCAACATAGTTTATGCAGACCTTTTTTTTGGAGGAATAAAATAAAAGATAATTTTTATTACCATTTTTTATCTCGGACATTTGTATCATGTGGTCCCCTAACAGTTACTAAAAGATATATCTTTTCAGACATGTTTTTCAGGACTGAGCCAATGAAACCAAGAAAGACCTATAGGGAAATGTCAGTCCTGAGACCAGACATGTTTGCTGAAGAGCATGCTTTTGAAAAGACTCCATGAAGATTGTTTATCTTATTAATGGTATGCCACAGCATAGAAAATTCCTTAAGAGAAAAATAAAGAAATTGTCTTATTTTCACTGTGGGTATACATACTAGGGAAATTTCCTCTCTGACCAATGGAAACATCAAGTGCAGGCAGTATTAATGTATTTTTAATTTATGTAAGGGAAAATCTGATTGTTTCAGGGAAGAATGCACTTATACTCTTTTTAGAATAAATTCATAGCTATTCTGGAAAGACAAACTTGCTGTAACAGAGCACACTTAAAGTGATACAAAGCCTCCTTTCCTGTAAGGTGATGCATGCTTTCTATTGATCTCATGTTTATTTGGTATATATTAATTCCTGATGTCAGACACATATTTTACACTTGGTTTAGAAGAGGTGTTGGCAACATGAAAAATACGAGCACAGGCTTTTTAGGCAGCTTAATAAATGCTTAAGATTACTAAACAAAAACCCACAGTTTCTCTGTGGATTATGTATGGTTATATGAGATGCAGCTACATGGTGTAAACAGTCAATACAGACTGTACTTTACCCACCCAGTTCTCTTTTTCAAAGGGAAATGCAGAGAAAGATTTTTGAAACTTCAAACCTCCAAATATTTTGACAGTACTTCCAGCATTTTACCACTCCCTTCAAAAGTCAGGGCTCATTTTAAGAAGACAGACGCCATTTTTCTGCCTTATTTTTACATCCTGCTCCAATTTGCAGGATAACGGTATTGTGCCCTCCAAAGGCAGAGATGCTGTTCTGTCTTGTGTCCTAGTACAATGTTTCTGGCCTACTGATGGATTCGGGAGCTCCTGCTTCATTCTTCATCCTCTCACAGCATCTGTGAAGACAGTCATGAAACCTTGAGATCAATACTAGACCTGGCAGCTGGCAGAGAGATTTCAAAGAATTTTAATTGCTCTTTTTAAAGTGCAACAGAATTTCACAGCTAGACTGTCTTGGAAGAAATCTTTTTAAAATCTTTTAATTGTTTGTGAACCAGAGCACATACATTTACTACATGGTGACTATTATTAGCAGGAAACAGTTATTTTAAAACAGAAAGACCGTCCCTTATTGTTTCTGAATCATACAGCTTACATAGCAGAATGTCTTTCAAAGACAAAACTTCAGCAGTATGGAAATGAGTGGACTGGCTGTTGCTCTTTGTCTATGATTTCACAAATTGTCTTGAAATTGTTTGTTATGCCTGGAAGCAAGCTAAGTGACAGAAAAGCCAAGATGCTAGAAAATGGCATAGAATAAATTAATTATATTTGCTATTTTTCCACTTAAAAAAAACCCCAAAACAACAAAACAAAACAAACAACCTTTTGCTTTATGCATTTGCAACAGACATATCTTTGTAAAGTGCTTTCAGATATTCTGCCCTAATATAGTTTTTTTTTGTTATGAGTTTTAGTTACAAGGAAACCCAAGGGAAAAAAGAACCCAGGTCTGCAAAATGCTGGAAGAGGTCATCCAGATCCCTTTTAACCAGACAAAGATTTTGCAAGACCAAGATCAATCAAGTCAAGAGGAAGCTGGAGGAAGTATGTAAACTGCTTAAAAACAAAATTAAATACTGAATGTGAATATTTTTTAAGGAACATTGAATATTTTCCATTGTCTAAATAGTGAAGTTGTAGTTCACTTGTAAGTTATTGGATTCATTTTAGGAGATAATAAAATTTCATGGTGTGTCTTATGTATGAAGAATAATTTACTATCTTTTGGCTATGAAGCTAATGCAGTTAAGGAATCTAAGTCAAACCTAAATATCTGAAGTTTTCATGCTTCAAAAATAAAACCCAAGGTGTTCATGTTCCTGGATATGAGAAACACAACACCTCGAAATTCTTGTTTCCTTCTAACAGTCTCCCAGCATCTCTATTTTGTCATTTGTACTCTTTCTCCACTTTCAGTCAAGAGACACACAGGAATAAAAGCTTCTAATCATATACAGTTTTTACTTCACCAGTTCTAGTAGCAGGCTTTTTTTTTCCTGCAAGCTCTTATTCCCATTTAAATGAACTTTTTAATCATAATATGATAAATCTATCACTCTTTATCCAATATTACAACTGTAGGTGGGTGGGTGACAGCTACAGTCTGTATTTTCCTTGAAGTAATTCCAGCATAACTCTAGGGGATAATTAAGAAGGTATGTTAAGAATATTTTTGAATTTCCTTCATAGTAGAAAAATTTTATGTGTGTCTTGGCCTACTGTTCAAAATCTCAGTTGCAGAAGCAAAGGCTGTATATATTGCCCATTCATTACATTCAGAGAGAGTATACATCCTGATATTTAACTTCCATGCCAAGCAATAAAGGTAGAAAAACTTTCAAGATAGTCACCATTTTACACCAAGGAGTTAGTTCTATTCCCTAGATTTAAATAATATAAAGTAATAAAACCTATTTTGAATTCACAGTTGATGTTACACTTAATGGTATACTGAGAAATAACTTTTTCTTCAAACTCTTCTTTTTTACAAATTATGCTTAACAGTCATAAACTGGGAAAGGAACTGAAAAGCTTAAAAATGTTGTCAGCACAGCATTTTCACTTGAGGGATTGCTGCCCTTTTCCTTCAAGCTATCTGCAATACTCTGGATGATCTCAGAAGTTGAACTGGGAAGCCTTATCCCTGGTAACCACACATTTCTTCACTCGCATTATTCTATTTGAATAAATCATGATGTCTGAAGGAAAATATACATATCTTGTTTTCTAATTCTGAGGGACACAGACATCCACTGTATTGAGAAGCAATTGAGCTAATCACAAAGCAGAAATTGCCACTTTCCATTCCTTGAGTTTTTACCTTTTCTCCACTTTTGATGTTGATCAAGGCTGGACAAGACAGATCCATGGAAACATGGCTTAGAAGAGCAGAACCTTACTGTACCTATCACTTTATCTCAAAATAACCAAACCAACCACTTTATCTCAAAATAACCAAACCAACATACATTGACTGCTGCATATACTAGCTCTATTCCGTCAGAATGTGTAAAATGTATTTTAAATAGGGAGTCTGTATTATACTTGGCAAACATTAGTTTCTTTGGTGATAAAATTTCATTCTTTACTGGCAGCCAGAATATAGTCATGGCAAGACAGGACACTTTTAGATGATGTGTAAGTATCAATATCTTTTTCACTACTTGGAAATTATAAATACATATTCATTAATCTGTGAAAGTGTCCAGTTCAATTCTATTTCTTTTATTCTTATTTTTCTTTACTGTTGAAGGATAAAATCTTGTTCCTTTATGTTTCTGAAGCAATTAAAAGAAAAATCTCCCTCCTTATCTTCAGCAAAAAAGCATGGGTCAGGGGAGTCTCAAAGACAGATAGTTTCCACACAGCAGTTTGTTCCTTTTTTTCTTCTCAGATGCTTCCAATATGAATGACTAGTCATAGCACTCAACTGTACCAGTAGGCACAAAAAGTTTAAAGTCAATTCTTACTCGTAAAACAGGAAACAAAAAGATAGGATAGTAGCATTTTCTCTTAGTAATAATATTTAGTAAGGGCAAAGTAAACTTATTAAGGATGAGGGTATGCATACAAAAGCAATACAGGGCATTCCTTCTAGCATGCTGTCTCATGATTTCACCAGTGCACTCTAAATCCCTCACAATTTCAAGATAAAAAACTGTCAAAACTTTAAATTACATTAAAAAAAAAACAAAACTGCTGAGGAATTCTGGCTCAGCATTCAAACAATTAGAATTTATATTTTTAATGTGGGATGACTCTTTTTTTTTTTTTTTTTTTTTTTTTTACATAACTAGACTGTGCTTATAAAACTGCAGGTTCAATGCAAATGAAAAGTTAGAAAGCACAAAAATAAAATATACTCTTATAAAGAGCTTTCAGTATGTAAATGCATCAATGCAAGACTCCAATGAAGCTCAGAATTTAAAGAAGGACGAGAATATTCAACAAGAAAGAACATCACACAGAAAAGTTTAAGATACTTTATATTCCAACTTGACAGCTTGACAGAATCAAATATCATTGCTTACAAAAGAAAAAGTATTTTGTAGAGGTATTTTCAAGGTTCATATTTAAGGCTCAGTAAGATCAATGTCTTTGGAAAGGCCAAACTTGGTAGTCAAGAAAATTTACCACAACATATATATATATCTATATATCAGAAGATATTTTATTGCCAACAAATACAAAATTGTTGCTCTCATTCACTCAATGTCTCATTTTGAAGATAAATCTTTTCCTTCACCACTTTTAAAGACCTGTAAATAAAGCATTGTAAAATATTAAAACAAAAAAGAAAATTTAGCAACAATAAATTAAAAAGGGTGAGGAGGAGGAAAGCCCAACCCATCATGGAGCAAATGTATTAGAAGCAACAGAAAAGTTATAAAGTGGAATCAAAGTATCATATGATGTTTTCCTTCCAAAGAAGTTTGGGGTTTTGCACAAGAAACAAAGTAGCAGCAAAGAAAAAGGGTAAGTATGAGTGCATTGGTGTCCCACAAACTTGTTTTTATTAACCAAAACAGTAGTACTCATCAGAATCAATTCTGGGGTGCTTATGCAGAGGCTGCGAGTCCTCCATAATAGAAGAATCACTGAACTGGTCCATATCTGAAGGGGTTTGATGACCAGGGACATCATCCACTAAGGTGTCCAAATAACTCCCCACTGATATTCCATCCAGTCCATCGCTACAGTCTTGTAAACTGCTACAGCTGCCGTGGAAGGATGTCTCTTGACTTTCTAGCAAGCTGCACAAGCTGCCACTCAAACTGCTACCTCTGCTGGCAATGGCCTTCTCTTCAATCATCCACTTGATTGATTCAATACTTTCATTGATGATGAGTAGCTGGCGCATAAGCTTCACATCAGTGGCTCGGAGATTAACCTACAAGGCAAAAGTGATTAAAAAAATACTATTTTTCTTCAAATCAAACTCTAAGTAGCAGGCTGGAAGCAATGAACAGGTTAAAAAAAAAAAAACCACAACAAAACCACACAAAAATCCACCTTTCACAGGTAGGACAAAACTATTTAAATAATTAGTAAAAAAAAACCCAACAAACAACCCAAAAACCAAACAACAAACAAAAAACCCTAATGCTATACTAATACTTTTAATATAGTTCAAGTGTGAACCTGATCAGGCTACCTAAGCAGTTCATTAACAGGCATGCTAGTGAATGACAAGACTTGTACACAAAATAGTACAATGTTATTTAGATGAGAAACATAGCTGCTATGAGAGCTCTTGGGGAAAGCATTTCATTATTCAGAGAAGCAAGAGGCAAACCTGTTTCCATTTACAATTACCCTAAGCTACTTAGCAGATCAAGGCAGCTAAGTATTTACACCAAATTATCATTATTACCACTTCTTGGGTAACCGAAAACTTTCAGACGTGCATCATTTGAAAAAAAAGCTTGTGGACTTTTAACTTTTATTCACACTACACCTGAGTTTATGTTGCAAGCTCCTGTATGACTCTCTGAGGGTTGAAATACTGAATTTACTGAAACTGTAAATTTCAAATTATTTAAACCCATATTAGATGAAGGTGAGTTCACAGTCAATCATTTATTATAGATTAACATAAAGAACAAAAACTTTTAAAAAAATAACTAAATAAAAAAATACCCATTAAGCACAAACTCCTACTTTCCAACCTAGCTGTGGTTGTTGATGCATACACACAAAAGTGGAATATTACAGTGCTGCATTTCACAGACAAGTTAACTGACTTAATGCTTTACTTAACAGACAAAATTTATAAGCCACTGTTTTACTCAAATTTCCACAATAAGGTGACACTTGAAGGTGAGGCTTTTATTTATTACTTCTTTCTTTTCATCTGAAACATCACAAGTGTTGGAAAAAAGAAAAAAAAAAAATCTGTGTCATTTCCTATTCATCACAACAAGTGAAAATACTGAACAGGCAGTCTGACAAACCTGATGATTCCAGGTTTGACTAGAATAAAATGTAGAAAGCCAGAAGCTACTTCCACCCATACTGTGAAAAGATAATGATAGTTTGTGACCTAATTAACTATCCAGCCCTTTTCAACAGCACCTCAACCCTGCTAAATGTTTACAGAGACACACTTTCTGTCTCATCACTGCCACAGTAAGATCTCCACCTAGATGAACTTTTGCCAACATAGGACATGCATGCTTGATACCATTGGAAAAAAGACACTAGACATTTTAGATTAATTTATAAAGATAGTCTAGCATTTAATTTGTGTCATTTTATCACATGTTCTTGCATTCTTTTAACTGTATTAATGAAATATCCTCCATGCAGATATGTCACTGCTTTAATACATGCATTTGGAGAATACTTTCCCTTGTATATAATTTGAGTGTACTTCTCTTAAAAAATGTGTGCCGTAATGCCTGATATATATACACACATATTCTACATGTTTTTCTTCCGCAGGCACTAACATCTTAACTTTCAGGTCATTTATTCAAAAAAGACAATACAATGTATTGAAAATTTGAACATCCTCACTCAGTTAAGAAATCAGGAAGAAGACAAGTACGATCTGTTATGCCAGACAATAGACATTTTGTGCTATTCTCCAGGTCCACAGCCATTGTACAGAAATATAGCACCTGCATTGTTCATCCAAAATGGACTGGAATGGAATCAGTATTCTCAAGAAAGAAAAGACTGCATCTTGTTTTGTCAAAAGTACAATCTGGACATTGTTTTTTCCATTCTCAAATGCCATCTTTTCAAAATCCTAAATTACACTGACCTGGTAGAGTTCAAAAAATTTTCATAATGTATTTTTATTCTATTAGATACTGCAGAAGACTGTACTGGCACTGGCTGGGATGCTTCATAGCAGCTAGTACAGTCCTGTATTCGATATCTGGGACTAAACCAGTGTTGACAGCATATCAGTGTGTCAGCTGCTGCTGAATAGTGATTGCACAGCACCAAGGCCTTTTCTGTTTTTCACTCATCCTCAGCAAGGAGGATGGGGCTGGGAATGATGTTTGGAGAGGACAGAGCTGGGATGGTTGACCAGAAATGACCAAAGGGATATTCCCTGCCATTTAATGTTGTGCTCAGCAATAAAACCCATGGGTTTGATCTTTTAAATGTAGCAGCTGCTTGGGGACTGGCTGGGCATCAGTCTACTGGTGGGAGATGGTGAGTTACTGAATTTGCATCACTTGTGTTTTTTTTTTTTCTTTCTTTCACTTATTAAACTGTCTTTATTACAACCCTTTTAATTCTCTTCCCCATCCCATGGAAGAGGGAGAGGGAAATGAGTGAGTAGATGGTGAATGCTTAGTTCCTGACTAGGGTTAACTCAACACAAAGATATTTCAAGCTTTGTTTGTAACAGACTATCTGTGTGACACTCATATGTATTCTCAGTCTTCTTCTCCAGTCCCCAGAATGATTTCTAAATTTTCCTCAATCCAGTATCACCAGATTTAACACAGCTAACCTGGTACTGTGCAAAATAGAATTACCATTCATAGTTTTAATAATACTGCCTATCTAACATTGTTCCAGATGTGAGGTTCTGAAAACAGATTGACCATTTCACAGTCCTCCTGCTCAAGTCAGTTCCTCTATCCCTACACATAAATCACTATAAACCATTTGCTGAACAACTAGGCTGTCATGAAAGCAGTAAATTACCTGACTTCTCAAATGCAGCTACAGACTTCAGCAACTTGCCGCATATAAGCAAGACTGGAGACAGCAAATTTCCCAAAAGGCTGATTAAGGAAATGTTTAAGAGAGCCAGCACTTATAGGGCTCTAATGAAACAGACCCTTTTAGACAAAGTAGGTATCTCAAATATTTCAGATTCAGTTCACAGGAAATACTTTTTTTTTTTCTAAATAAACCCACAGCTTCAGCATTTCTATGGAACAGCCTTACTGGGAGTAAATCTTTGCAATTCTGCATACTTGAGTCCTCGTCCTCCAAGCTACCATGTTGTCACAAGTCTCCCATATCAAGAATGTGCTTTTGCTAAAGCAAACATTAAAATGTAGTCCACCAAGCATCATCTTTCTTTATTATGCTTTACTTCAGCTGCTTGATAACACAAAGATGTCAGTACATTTCATGCCTCTTATCTGCTTTAGCCCAGACAAAATCATATTAGTTTAGACTCATGTAGCTGCAATCCATGCAACTGCTGGAGCAAACAAGTCATTTCCAAGATGGTTCAACTAAAGAGACTAAACACAATAAAATCTCATCAAGTCTGACAACTCCATTTGTTATGCACAGTAACAGGTGCATTTCAGAAATAATCTAAACAGGGTGTATCATAGGTAATATAGGTATTTCAGAAAAGTTTCTACAGCTGCACTTAGAATCAAAGGTTGAGCACAGCACCACCGTAGGGAAGGTGTGTGTGAGTATGTATCAGTCCTCAGCACAAACTTATGCTGTACAGAAGAAATGAATTGTGATAAGAAAGCAAAAAAGAAATTCTGGTTACAGACTAGCTTATATATCTTTCTGCTTAGTTTGCATGATCACAGTAGTGCAGATCCCAGGAAGGACTGTAAATATAAACATTAAACAGCTAGTCATGGCAAGAGAAAATAATGACATTAAAGTGACAGCATCATTCAAGTAACACAGTCTGGTAGCATAGATGGAGGGAACAGATTAACATTCAGACACAACTAAATCTTCAGTCTGGATGGGATAACTGGCCTAAACACCTGTCTGTGCCTCCCTCCCTCTCATCCTGGTTGTTCTAACAAGATACTTCTTCCTTACACAACTAGCCTTGCTTATGGTCTTCCACAGTAATATGTGCAATATTGAGATGATTCAAGAGAATTTATATAAATACAAACATATGGACATCTGTGTACATATATGTATACACAGATAAATACAAATATTCATGTTATTTTTATATACAGTGTTTTTATAAAGGACTTCACTAGGTTATTGGTTTTAGAATAAAGATTTTAATGACCAGAGCTGTTAACAAAGACAATTATTGCTTCCTGACAGTCACCGAAAATAATGTATTGGCTTCCCTAGCCTGGTCACTTCGCTTTTGGATCAAAGACGCACTTAGACTACCGGCAGAATGGAACTGGTGTTTTCCTGCTGCATGTTCTGCAGAGACAGCTTCCAGTTAGCTCCAAACACAGCAGGTCCTCTTCCCCTCCAAAAATTACATGGCTAAATTTTATTTCAATATATCCTTTTAATGTATCAAAGCTGTCTGCAACTCTAATTCCCTTCTGCAGATTACTTTCTTTTAGATTCCTAGGGTCATGTGCTGCTGCTGCTTCTTTTAACTACAAGAAGTCTGCAGGGATATTAATGGTAACCATAAAATGTGGTATGAGGAAAAGATAATTCTAAATTTATTTAAAAGATATTAGTTTTGTTTTTTCCTCAACACCTTTATGTTGTGTGCTCTAAAGAGCCTACTAGTAAAAGGAATAAAAATGACTGAGCCTGAATATTAAGGTATTTCCTTCAAGGTAAATCTTTCAGCCAGAGGACAGTAAAATAAATCACTGCAAGACACAAAATCTTAAACTTACAAAGTTAATGGATTCAGGGAGCTATTTAAGTCACTCCAGCTCAGAAGCTCTGCTCTGCACAGAATCTTGATCAGGACTCAAACACTGATCTAGGGTTGGCTACTGTGGAATCTGTGTTTCTGAAGTTTTAGACAGATATTCCACAATAAATGGAAGTTGGATGGAAACAGCAGAAAAACACAATGCCCTACTGAAAGCCACTAAGAGGTTTAGCATGTGAACAGTCTTGCAGAAGAGAGCCAACATGTGAAGAGGTTAGATGAAATGGGCACTTGTGCCCATTCCATCTGTTGTTAAACACTGCCATACCCATTTCTATTACCCATTTTACAAACAGAATTTCAAACCAGTAGAATCTTTCCACGACAAACAGATATGTGTGTGACCACTATGATTTAGGAGTATTAATGTGACTGGTGTTTTCTGTTTTCTAGGGTGTGTCAGAGACAACTTTCCACTTTTCCATTCAATTTCTTCTATTTCCCATGTTATTCAGGATAAAGACCTTTACAGTTACCCAGATATGCCTACCTCTCCTTTCTTTTTTTTTTTAAAGGCTGATTACCTCAATTTTCCATGGAATAATGAATGCCATTAATTCATTTGAAATGTAACAAAAAAGAAAATTAAAAATTAACAATGTCCAATTAAAAATTTGTTTTGAATTCTGAGAAGTCTCTTTCTTGAACAAAATGTAACCTTTGCCACTTTCTTCTGGTGTTACTTTTGTTATTACAAACACTGACTGACAATATTTAAAGTAACTAAGAAAATTAATTCCCAAGGAGAAAGGTGAGAATGTGAAAAATAAAATAAACATTAGCTGGCAATGTTGAATTATTTGAGCCTTAGGAAGATACAAATTTGGTAAGCAGATATAAAAGGATATAAAACTCATCTATAAAATTTCATCAACCAATTCTGTGAGAGAATATACATTACAAGCTAAAAAGACCATAGGCAACATATTCAGTGTCCAAAATTCAGAACTGTAAATGTAAGCATTGTTTAATTGGAGTGGCTAGCTAACACATTTACAATGGGTGAGTGTAGTCACATAAACAGGCTTTGTTTATTAAGCAACCATCATCAAGCATGAATCATGCCACATGAAGGTTAGCAAATTCAGAATGATATTACAAAAGCCTCTCAACACCAGTGAGTAAAAAAAAAGCCTATTTTTCCATTTAAAATGTCTAAAATAAAACCACAAATGATAGATATGAGACAAATGTCTGCTCCTTAAACACACAGGATGATTAGTAGGCTGTGCATGAGCTCTGTCCTACTTTAATTAGTACATATGCATGTGCACGACTTTAAACCTCTTGTCTACTTCAAAATTGTCCCCCTGGTTCAGAATGTTTGTCAAAAAGCCAGGGAGCTTTTATGTGACAACATTAGAACACAGGTTTACTATCCTTAGCTGGAAGGCATCATCTATGCACAGATGGAACTGCAACTGCTTGTGGGAATGCTTCACATACACTCCACCATGAAGTCAACTAGCTTGGATTAATTCAGGCACTACCATAATTCAGGTTAACCCAATCAACCTGACACTGTGTGTGATCTCTCTCATTTCTTCAGTTTCTTCATAAGCAGAAACAATGGAGGTGGCGACGAGACTGTCAGTGAGTGGAGGTGGGTGATCCAGTGTTCATCATTATACCATGTGTGTCTGACTAATTTACCTCACAATGATTTAGGTAAATTAAATTTCAGGCAACAGCGACATACATAGATCAACAGCTTTTTGCACATCTGGTTTCTTTCAGCATGTACTTGTGTTATAATGTATTGCTGGGACATTTTCCCATTTCTTTCCTCATGTTTTTTAGGGTTGTGGTAATCTTCAGACAACTAAGGAGCACATGCAAAAGCTACATAATCAAAAGTTAAATTTATTTTCATTTGTAGTTGCAGTTTACTGACCTAGTCTATTTCTGCAAATTGAGCAAGTTACACTGACCTTTTTCAGCTGTATATCCATAATGAGTCACAATAAAAACATTGTGGTATGTTACAGAAGCAGTCTTGATTGCTTACTTTTCGCTTTCTATTGCAAAAGAGAATATTTATGTTCTTGTTTCTCTTGAAGATTCCAAAATTGTTAAAACCCTCATAGTAGATTTTTAGACATTCATTACACTCACTATAGTGCCAGCTGTTCAGAAAGAGAGCAGTCTTGAAATCTTCAGTTTCTGTCTGTGCCTGTGACCTTGCTAGTTTAAAAAGAAGCTCTACGCTAGTCATCTTGTTTCAATGTGCTGCAGTTCCAGCGCAATCCTCCACCAAATGGTTCTGACAAATATTTCTATAGATCATGTAGTAAAATTTGGCAGCAACATAACATAGCTTTGTGAACAGTGTTTTCTAACTAGGAAGGAGAGACAGTGTAATTCGACATCAGCCAGAAGAGGATTCTCCTTATGTAAGCAGAGCTTACTAAACACCTATTAGTTAAATCAAGGAAGTGGGCAGGTCAGATCTGAGACACCACCAGAATAATCAGGAGGCAGAGCAACTTAATGAGGGAGCAGGTTAGCTCAGTAAGCAATGAGTGTAAATAATTTAATGAACAGGTTTCAAGGACATTACTTGCAAATATATGAACAAAATATTATGCTACTATGGTTATCATCTGGTATAGGAAATTACAGTATTGGTGATTTACATTTCTCTTACGCCACCATATTTTAATATGTTGATTTTATACATAGTAATTGATCCCGTTCAGACTTGAAAAGAAAATACATGCCACTAAGTTGTGCACTTCTTTAATTGAATTATATCTGTAATTAAAAAGTGAATCTCAAGGCCTTTTTCCACTTCACTGAAATGTGCATGATCTTTTTCTGTGGAGTATCTGTGGGCAGCCTGCCATTTTTATTAATACCGAGTAAAATCTCAATGATTTTGATAAATCATTCACTCAGTAGGATACTTTTTTTAAACATTATATTATTTGAGGTATCTTGTATGCTTAAGCATAACACAAAATTCTCAGGCCCCAAATTTTTGTTTGTTTGTTTATTCTAGTTTTTTTTGCCATCTTTTTATTTTACTGTGAAAAAGAAAAAAAGTTATTTAAATACCTACTTAGAAGATATGATCATGATTATCAGAGAGAAACATGCTATAGATCAGAGAGCAAGTGGAAGGAAAAAACTAAAGGTTAGTTAAGTCCCTATTTCATCATGACCTGCCCAAACAAAATAAAAGTTAAATCAGCTCTTTAAATATGGAAGCACCACAGAATTCAAGCAGAGAAACATCCAGCCTCAGAAGGATGAATTAATATAAAATGAAGGTCCTGATTATTTAAAGCTTAGTTGAATGAACATGAAAGTGAACAGTGAGGAAATGTAGTGGTTTGAGAAAAGAGAAAAGCTTCTAATGCTATGGGAAGTTTTTACTGAATGTTTCCAAATATCCCATGCTGCTGTCATAAAAGCAGGATCTGACCTTAGAAACAAATCTACTATAACGGCGGTGAAAATGTCCAGAAAAATCCATACTATGGACTCACATATGTTGACAGACAAGATAATACCACTGCAATCAGTCAGGTCAATATGTGGTGGTAACAATCGGCTGTGGGTGTCAGAAAGTGTTACAACAGATGGACGATCACAGCATCATTATAACGTGTTCTGGACATGAACCACAACACAAGACTGTATGTGTCTTCCCCACTGATGTGAGACAGCACTGGGGCTTAATAGCATATTTAGATTTATTTTTTTTTTTTCACTGATTTCACTTTCTGGCTTATTTATGCTTGTCTTGACCAATACATGCTTTTAAAAATACAGTGCAAAAACCAGATAAAATATTTGTTTGTTCCTGAATTAGGTTTGGTTAATGAGCACTCCAGACCTGCTTATCTCTTTAAAATGAACTACCTTTGATTTTGGCACTGTGTAAGTACACTCAATAGCACAGAACTAAAACAAAAGTGAAAGATGATAATGGGTTTTGCTTACTGCTATATTCAAAGTTTGAAACATTGCTTTTATGGAGACAACAGTGATCCTCACCTCATTATTACTGTTAAAAAAAAAAATACAAACAACCCCCCCCCAACTTGTTTCATTAAATCAGAGCCAAGACACAACAATATTCCTACTGAAGACAAATCTATACTTTCTTGAAATTCAAATCTGCTTTCACAATACCATTGGAGAGAAACGTAAGATTTTAAAAAAATTTAAATTCTTCGCCTTAATCTCCCTAGATTTCTAAATAGGATTCTGCTTGTAATACTTCTGTGGTCCTGTAGATGGGGTAGGTCCTGTTAAAAGCATACTTTTAATCTATCAAGAAAATCTTTACTAAGGCAAACTCCTGTCCTATTTACTGAAGGTTTATCCGAATAAGAATAAAAAGGAACTTCAAGACTTGATTTTTTGTTTCCCATGCTCTGCCAACAAGCAAGTGTACAAGAAGCTGGGATGAAGCATAGCCAGGACAGGTGACCCAAACTAGGAAAGGGCTACTCCATATCATAAAATGCCATGCTCAGTATACCAACTGTAGAGAGTTGTCTGGGGGGGAGGATCACTGCTCTGTCACTGGTCAGTGGGTGGTGAGCAGTTGCATTATCACTTATCTTTTCTTGGGTTTTATTTATCTCTTTTTGTTATATTAATGTTATAACAATTATAATTATATTTTATTATTACTATTGTTATTATATTTTATTTTAATTATTAAATCATTCTTATCTCATTCTTATGTCCCACTGGGAGGGGAGGAGTGAGCGAGCAGCTGTGTGGTGTTTAGTTGCTGGCTGGGGTTAAATCACAACATGAATCAACATCTTATCAAATAAGTTTTGGGGGTTTGTTTCTTTAAGTTTAATCTGTGCACTGTTTGAAGTTTTGTGTCTTTCAGATTCAGCCCTATTTTCTCTTTACAATGAAAAAACATCCAAATCTCCCCATTGGTGTATTACCATCCTGCTAAAACATGGTTCATACATAGGCTTTGTGCCTATCTGAATGTAGTAGTAAATTTGAGATCTATCAGATAAAATGAAGGAAAGTTGCCTATTTTGACTCTTTCAAACAAAAATATCCATCCAACTTATAGATACAGATACCTATAAATCTTTCTCACCCACTAAAATGCATCAATCAGCTAGCAGCTAACCTGCATCAGAGATCTCAAAGTGAAAAAGCCAGAAGAAAACAAGAGTCTACAACTGTTTTTAGCAAGCTGAAACATTTAATTTGGCCATCACAACTAGCCAGGCAGGCTGCTGCAGGCTATACTAGCTGCAGCTTTTGAGCCCTTTTGGCTCAAAAAGCCAAAAGGCCCTTTTTCTCCTACAGAACACACTGCAGTAATCTGTTCTGGAGGTCAAGAGGCATGATTATCCAGGTAATAAAGTGAAAACATATATTAAAAACTCAATAATCAGAAATCCTATGCTTCTAGCCAAGGGCATCTCATGAGACAGCAACAGCAGTAATCAGTCATGAACTATGAAGTTCAGGGAAAAAACAGGTACTCCCGGTTCCAGTCTTTCCATATTATTTCATCAGTAGCCATCATCCACACTATGTGGTGTGGACATCAGCTTCTCCTACATCACTCTAGCTCATGTCATATTGTTCTTTTTATACCTAAACTGCTCTTAGCAAAGACTTCTACACAGCAGACTACTGAGGCAGTGTGGCTTGATCCTAGTTCAGAAAAGAGTATTAATCATAACTATCAAAATAGGTATTAGTAGAGCGGGAAGGAATCGCTGGTTAAATTTCCCATTTTTCCTACTGAGGAAATACTAGCTACTAAGCTAGTTGGGGAGCAGAAATAAGGTGTAAGACTTGCACTAGATGTCTAGGAAAAGACAAATATGACCTTTGCCAACAATCAAGAGTGACCTGGGAAGCAAGAGAACTAGACAAGGAAATCTAAGACAAAACAGAGTTGGACTTGAAAAGTAATGACTGTATTTGGATAGATCTGGTTAGGACTCTACTGAAATAAGTCTGTCATTAAACTGCAACAGGAAAATATTAAAAAAAAAAAATAAGGAGCTAAATCACAAAAGCTTAGACATCATGTTGTTTGGGTTGCATTTCTTTCTCTTCTCAAATGGGAGGACTGCTGCTCTGCACTGGTGAATGCATAACCAACTATAGGAATTGATGGTCACCGTTAGCTACCTCATCTCCCTGTGAGGAAAACAGCAACTGTGCCTCCACTGCATTGCTCCAGCCACAGCAACTACTGCTAGGAGCTGAAGGAGTAGATAAATTCCACAGGCATTTAAAGATGAAGAAATTTACTGTTGCTTTGGCATGCTAGTAGTACTGTTCTTCTCTTGCAAAGAGGCTTTCTTCTCTACTGTTGCAAGATTGATGGTTTTCTCCTACGAACCCTGTAACACTAGGAACCCGTCACAGGCCACCACTTGAGACTGAAATATTTCAGTGTACGGCACAATTCTCCCATGACATATGGCTAGCTATTAATGGTTGAAATGGTTGAAGTGGTCCTGTGAAGGCAAAATCTACTTGCAGCCACAGATCAGGAAAAGTCCTCTAAAAATTATTGTTCTGGCTTCATGTTTGCTCCTCTCATAACTGTATATCTTTGAGGAGACTAGAACAATAGTCTAAGGTTGGAGTTTACAGTGACTGCTGAATGACTTCTTGAAGTTTTCATGGTTTTGCACAGACTCATCCAAATTCTGTTAGTCAGAAAACCTGCCTGTCCGCGGAAAAGATTCATCAGTACAAAACTACATAAAAACACTACTTTTTTTTTTTTTAATTATTATTTTTTTTATTGTCATGTACTTTGTTCTAAACATACATTGTTTGGCTTTGTCCAACAAAGAAAAGTGTCTGTGTAAGTAGCCAAACTTAGAGAACAAATTCAGGCTTGTGATATGGCTGGAACAGGTCTTCTCCAGGCAATTTTCCAAACTGTGGCAGTCTCATCCCAGGAAGGATGCTAGATATTCACTAGTTTTCTGAAGAGGTGGCAAACCAATGTAGATTCTATATCTGCTACACAGAAATGCTTCACAGTTTTCTCCTTGCTGTCAGAACTGTTTTTCCTAGTCATTTATAATTATTGCAAGGGTCAAGGTCAGAATCTAAAGCTCTGTAAATTAAAAAAAACCCAAAAACAAAACAGTACTAAGAGAATCACATCCAATGTTTGTTATGTCTCATAAGCACATATTTGAGTTACAAAATGCAGTGCACCATTTAAAATAGAACATTTCTTTAAACCAGTGGAAATTCTGTAGGAAGTCAGAAAAAAAAACCCCTACAACACCCTCAGAAAAATGCAAAGTGGCAGAGCTGTTCTACCTTTGTACCTCTGGGTAAAAATGTGGGAGCTTGGAAACACTCAGCGCATTTGTTACATCGTATTTGTTACATGTTTGTTTCCTGCTCTGTCTAGAAAGAGGTAGGTTTCATAGCCAAAGCAGCAATGCAGTAAAATGATGCTCCTT